CCCTCGCTCCCTCTCATGCCCCACCCCCTCGCGACTCTCACATCGCAGGCGCTCCGCCCTGCAGCAGGAGCTGGTGCGGGAGGGCATGCCCGAGGAGCAGCAGCGCGCCATCATGGGGGAGCTGGAGAAGCGGGAGAGCGACTACATGCGCCTGCAGCGCCAGCGCATGAGTGCGGACGACTTTGAGCCGCTCACCATCATCGGGCGCGGCGCGTTTGGGGAGGTGGGGGGTGCAGTTTTATGGGGGCCGCCGGCGCGGCCGGGGTGGGGTCGGCTTAATGGGGCGCGTGCAGCGGGGGGCGTCGGGGGGCGCGATGTGGGCTGTGGCGGCTGGGCTGTTTGCGGGTTCTTTGTTGCGTGGCGACTCAGAGAGCCTCGAAGATCCCCTGGGCAGCGGTCAAAAGGTGCTCAAGGCCAAGTTCAATTTGCTTCCAAACAGTGGCTCAGCACCGCGCTGTCCCTGCACATACAATCAGAGGGCACCCTCCCCTTCACCCACACACGGACAGCTACAAGCACGTACGCACTCACAAGCAAACACTGCCATCAACATGCACCCCCCTAACTCCACATTCTCTCACACACACACAAACACACAAACTTACACAATCCCCCCCTCCACCCTGACGCGCACACCACCAGGTGCGTATCGTGCGCGAGCGCGTCACGGGCAAGATCATGGCCATGAAGAAGCTCAAGAAGGCAGAGATGCTGCGGCGCGGCCAGGTGGGCGCAACCCATGCCCCCTCTCCCCCCCCCACACACACTTCCCCCCCGACCCGCGCCTGGCATCATCGATGCTGAGACGCGGCAACCTCGATAGGAACGCGCGGCCCCTGCCAGCGCGCGGCGCGTCCCAGCCGGGCGAGCCTGCTGCCTCCCCCTCATGCGGCCCACTCGCCCCGATTCTCCCACCAAGCCGCCACATCTTCCCTATCTCAGTCACCACCACTGCAGCCACTACCACCACCACCGCCGCCGCCGCAACGTTGGCATTCAACCCACCACCACCACACCACCACCACCACACACCCCCACCACCACCACCGCCATTGCCGCGCCCCTCTTCAAATCCATTAGGTGGAGCACGTCAAGGCGGAGCGCAACGTGCTGGCTGAGGTGCACAACCCCTACATAGTGAAGCTCTACTACTCATTCCAGGTGGCAGGGCGTGTGGTTGCGCGCGCGTGC